ATTTGCAGATCTTTGTTGGCATGGTGCCTCTTCAGGTCTTTTTCTTACTTTTTATTGGGTAGTTGTTTCCTATTGAGTTTCAAAAAGTTCTTTGTATATTTTGGATACAAGTCCTTTGTCAGGTTTTTCTCAAATACTTTCTCCTAGTCTGTGGTTGTGTTTTCATCGATCGCTTAACAGTGTCTTTCACAGTTAAACTTTTTGAGATAATTGTGGCTTTACATGTAGTTGTAAGTAATGAAACAGAGATGCCCTGTGTACCCTTTATTCACTTTCCCCCAAGGGTAACATCTTACAGAACTGTAGTGCAGTATCAAAACCAGGTTATTGACACTGATGCAGTAAAGGTGGAGAACACTTCTATCATCACAATGCCAAGGGTTTTGTTTGTTTATTCCATTTATATACTTAAATGCTATAAATCCCCCCTCCCAAAAAATTAAATAAATAAAAGGATATGGGACTGCTTGTAAAATGGCAGGAAGAGGTGGAGCACCTGACTTGAGATGCTAAAGCTTCAAGAACAATACCCAAATCTGATGGGAAAATGCCTGCAGGGTCCAGCCCTGCCGAGCCCTCTGGACCTCAAGAAAGAAAGAAAGGTGAGCTTTCTAGCACTGTGTTTATAGAACTTTTGCTACAAAACTGGAGAATCCAAAATAAAGCAGACAGCCACCTGAGTGTGGATACCAGATGGTTTATATCCATGAGTTAACCCATGAGACAAAAGCAGCCGAGGAACACAATCCAATTACAAAGGATGCGGGATTTGGAAGAAGAATCTTCAGCATGAAAATATCTCAGCATCAGCCCTTTGTAAACCAAAAACATTTTTGGTTTACAAAAATTCTTTAGGAATTAGAATTCTGGTAGACTTTTATTTAAGTCCCATTGGTCAATGCTAGAGAACAGGGCCACCCTGCCTGGGCTGCGAGGCCGGTGGGGAAAGAAGTTTTGTAGTTCTGGCCTCTGAATGGATTTCCTCCTAGGCCAGGGCACTCTTCACATTTAACCGGAAATACTGGTTCAAGCCATGAGGGTAAGTGGTTGCCCGACATGCCTTATGATAACTCTCCACCATTAAAACCAACACAGACCTTAAATTTGATAAGAAACATTTACAATCTATTCTCCAGGAAACATTTACAATCATTTTTCAGGAAGCTTGCTAACGTGAAGTCTTCATCTGCATGATAAAACTGTGGTCTCTGGCCGGGCGCGGTGGCTCAAGCCTGTAATCCCAGCACTTTGGGAGGCCGAGGCAGGTGGATCACGAGGTCAAGGGATCGAGACCATCCTGGTCAACATGGTGAAACCTCGTCTCTACTAAAAATACGAAAAATTAGCTGGGCATGGTGGTGCGTGCCTGTAATCCCAGCTACTCAGGAGGCTGAGGCAGGAGAATTGCCTGAACCCAGGAGGCGGAGGTTGCGGTGAGCCGAGATGGTGCCATTGCACTCCAGTCTGGGTAACATGAGTGAAACTCCGTCTCAAAAAAAAAAACTGAGGACTTAAAAAATAAAAAAAAAAAACTGTGGTCTCTATTGATAACTCTTCCAATTAGAAAAACTTTAAATCTGCCTACAACCTGGAAGCCTGTCACCTTCGAGTTGTCCCGCCTTTCTTAATCAATGTGTTTCTTAAATGTATTTGTTTATTTTTTCAAGATGGAGTCTTGCTCTGTTGCCCAAGCTGGAGTGCAGTGGTGTGATCTTGGCTCACTGTAAACTCCGCCTCCCGGGTTCAAGCGATTCTCCTGCCTCAGCCTCACGAGTAGCTGGGATTACAGGTGTACACCACCATGCCTGGCTATCTTAAATGTATGTGATTGAAGTCTCATGTCTCCCTAAAATGTATAAAACCAAGCTGCACCCTGACCACCTTGGGCACATGTTCTCAGGACCTCCTAAGGTCTGTGTCATGGGCCATGGTCACTTATATTTGACTCAGAAGAAATCTCTTTAAATATTTTACAGAGTTTGACAGTTTTCATTGATAGCCTCCTCTGAGGTGATAGAGTCAAGATGTCTGTTGAGTTATAGTGGAAAGTCAGATTTTAGGGACAGAGAGATCACGGTTAAAATTTAGACCTTGTCCCTTATTGCCTGTGGGTAGCCTTGGACAAGACACATTCATCAGCTCCCATTTCTTCATCTGTAAAATGGGGGTGGTAATAGTCTGCCTTCAGGGTTATTGCAAAGATTGAAGAAAAAAAAAATCACGAATCTGATGAACTTTCTGGTTTATAACAGTTACTTAATAAATGGTCATTTTATCAGGCATCCTATCAGGAAAATAATGAGGTCCATTCCCCAAGATGAATGAGAGACCCGAGCTATATCTGCCTCTCCACTATTCATTCTTTCCTTCCATTTTATTAACAGAGAAAGCCCTTTTCTTTCTTAGAGGGCAGAACTTAACTGCATTTCCCCACCTCCCTCGCAGCCCAAGGGTTGGCCCTGTTCTCTAGCATTGGCCAATGGGACTTAGATGAAAGTCTACCAACAAATGTCACCACGGCTGCTAGATGCTTGCTTCCAACAGCCCTTCTCACTTGTAATTCATTTAGCAGAGGCCGGAGCTGAAGGAGTGCCCAGGCTGGGAATGGAGGAAGGACGTGCTCAGGACAAGGCGAAGATGGGAGAGAAGCAAGATCTATGTGTTTGGGCAAAGGACACATTTGCTTACTCCATAGCAGTTGTGGTCAGTGGCTTAGCTCTACAAGGAGATGAGCCCATGTTTTGTGTGGATTCTTCTGGGAACTCTGAGAAGGCAGGGGCCATCCATCGCTGCCTCTCTTCCATTCTGCAGCATGGAATATGGATGTGTGGTCTGGATGTACAGGCACCATTTTGGACCACAAAGACAAGGACGATTGTCTAAGGATAACACAGCCAGAGAACTGGGAATGGCGAGGACAGGGGAGCTGCTGTGCCAAGTAGTACTGCCTCTCTCTTAAGAGAAAAATAAAACTTATTAGTATTTAAAGCACTGCTGTTTTGGACTGTCTGTCACATGTCACTGAAATTAATCTGAAACATTGCCGCAATTAATGGGGAAAAAACTAGCACTCCATCTTCACACTTTGAGCTTTTTATGGCATAACCACCCTGTCCAAAGTAATATACCACCAAGTGAAACATGATTACACTCAGCTGTTTACAGGCTTAGGCAATCTCAGTACAGGATCTATCTTCCTGTCATGTAGCCCGCCATCCCCTTTTTAATGTGGCCAGGTAGTTTGATGTGTTTTCTCCCCACATTTTCTCCATTCAAGTGGAGAGAAGGCTCTGTACATCCAGGGAGGTTCGTGAAGGGCCTCCTGTTATCTGTATTCAAAAGATTTAAAATGGAAATACAGCAGGGAGAATGGGAGACTCACCTCAGGGTGGCGTGTCAGAGTGGCAGTGGTAGGGGAGAGATCTGTGTGGGGGCTCCATGGACGCCATGGGAATGGCCTCATGGTACACTGGGGACCTGAAATTCCAAAACCTGTCAGAGATGCCCAAGTCCAGTCAATCACAGCATAGCAGCAGAGCAGCTATGGGGCTGCAGGGGCTGGACCCTACCAGTGAGGACAGAGGCACAGTCACCTCAGGGCACTTCACTGCCACACCCCAAGTACCCTTGGGCAGGGTGAGGGAAAGGAGATGAGCAACAGGCATCTCAAACTTAACATGCTTAGATTCAGGAACTCTGGGTCTTTCTCACAATCTGCTTCTCCACCATTTCCCCATTAGCCAGTGGCATCTCTATTCTTCCAGATGCTTCCACCAAAACCTTGGAGCATTTCTCAGTCCTTTTTCTCTTACACTCTACACCCAATCCATTTGCAAATCCAGAGGATCTACTTTCAAAACACATCCAGATTGAAATCACTCCGCCCCACTTCTCCTGCACCCACCATGCCATTGTCATCTCTCCTGGACTGTTGAAGTGGACTTCCACGGCTTCTGTGTTCTGCCCTTGTTCCCTGGAGTTTATTCTCATTATGGCAGCCAGGGTTAACCTGCTAAAATGTAAGCTGACATGTGCTCAAAACTCTCCAGTGGATCCCAGCTCACCCCAGGCAAAGGCCAAAGCCCTTACCACATCCTACAAGGCCCTATCTGGCCTCTCTTGTCTCACTCACCATGCATTCCCAAACCAGGCTCTTTGCTGTTCCTTAAAAACACCAGCCGTGATCCTGCCTCAGTGTCTTTGCACCGGCTGCTCCCTTTGCTTAGAAAACTTTTTCCCCAGGCATTTGAAGGATCTGTCCCTGGGGCTCTTTTAGGTCTTTAGTCAAATGTCTCTTGCTCAAAGAGGTCATTCCTGGTTGCTCTATGAGACTGGTGGCACCTCCCTGTCCTCCCCCAATCTACCTTCCTTCCCTTTTACTTACAGCACTGACGAATATGTACCTGACATACTACGCATCTTACCATTTTGTTTCTGTCTGCCTCTCCTCACTAGAGGGTCAGCTCTGGGAAGATAAGAACCTTGTTTTGGTTTCCTATTATATCTGCAGCAGCAACCAGCACGGTGCCGATGCCAAGTGGGTGTGTAATATTGGCGGCACCACCTTTTATTTGCCCTCCCTCTGTCCCCATCTCACTCCTGCTGCCCTTGTTTGCATCCCCTCTGCCCTCAAATGATGCAATCATCACATCAGCTTGGCCTCAGGCTCTGTCTTCTGAGGAGCCCTGGCTACTACAGTAACTTACTGGAGGTCATAGAGCTAGTAAAAGATCCAGGATTCAGACCCAGGCAGTCTCACTCCACAGTGGCAGGGCTGCTACTACCATTATTACTACTTCCTGGAGCATCACAAAGGCTCAAGGCAAGTTAATGTAGTTTAAAAAGGGCACATTCTCTACCATCTCTACCACTCTAAAGCCAACTGACTTTGCTTCGGCCCTGGCAAAAGTATGATTTGTTGGGACTGTTTGTTGAAAAGATAATGTAATTTCTGGTTGTCAAAAGCACAAACACACATGGAAATAAGTATCAATGAAATGGTCAGTTCAAGAAATTTATATTCAAAAATTTTCTTTAAGAATACAGGTAATTTTACAAGATCACTCATCATAGCACCAAGCCTAATATTCCTTAATAGAAAACAGTCAAATAACAAATACTCCAGTTAATTTCCCACAGGTATAAATTATGCAAATAGCCATTTATATTTTCATTTACAGTAATCAATAAATAAGACAGGACATTAATATATTTTTTACAAAGATCTCTTTCTTTTTTTTTACAAAGCTACAGTTATGTATATACTAGACAAAAATAATCCTTGTACTACAAAATAACATTTCATTTTCCTCAATAGTTTTTTTAGAGCTTTCAGTAAAAACTTTCAAACTTAGTCAATTAAGCCCTGCCATGACAATAAGGAAACATTAAATCTGCTAAATAGACCAGACTCCCCCGAAATAAAACACCCATCACCACCCAGTACAATATGGTCTGAACAATCGCCTGTCTCCAAGTTTTAGTAGTATGTCCTGAGGATGTACAGTAGGGAACAACAATTTTTCCATGTTCACAATTTGTCTTTGGCGGATAGTTTCAGCACCACTATGAGTGACACAGGCAGCATCTTATGGTGCAATTTCAAGGTCAGAGGGCAGGTGTCCCCTGCGCCACACTCCCCTCCCCACAGCTACCTCTCCTACCCCAGGGACATCCTACACCAGCATGCCAGCCGTCGGCTTAAGGGATCCTTGCTGGAATGCAAACGGCTCTGACTCTGAGTAGAATTTCAGGAGCCTTTTTGAGTCGTTATTAGGAAAGGGGAAAAGGTGAGGGAGTGGGAAGATCTAGTCCTTTACACCTATTTCTGCAGCTGAACTGTTGAATTTAAAAGAAATTCCCTTAAGAAACTCCCTCAGATGCTGACGTAATTTAAGGAGACCAATTTAGTTCTAACAGCCCTAGGAAGCAGATTTCCCAGGTTCTACCTCAAACATCCATCCCAAACCTGTAAGATTCAAGCTCTTCCCAAAGGCACCTTTCTCAGATACGAAAGCCAAGAAGCACTGCCCTAAGCTTTGGGGCTATAATACAGAAGTAAACTTGATTTGAGCAATAGGCCGCTTATTGAGATAAATAAAAACTACCTTGGTAACCTTCAGAGTTTTAAACCTAGAAAGGACTTTTAAAAGAGGTCTTCCCACTTCCAACCCAGAGAGGTAAATTCAAGGCATCTGCAGGTGAGCCAGAGCTAGGACGTGGGTTCTCCATACGCAGACCAGTGTTGGCCTGTTTTGGACAATGTCAGCTCTCCAGGTAATAGGCGCTCCCAGAGTTTCCTTTGAAAACGTGTGTAAATCCTTGCATGACATTTAGAAATACTGGCGTTCTGGGGCTGTCCTTTCTCACAGCATGGACTTGCAGAGAATATGCACCTATTCATTTTTGCTGGGGCTAAAGGAAGTGGTGGTAGCTGTTGGAAATAGAATACAAATATCAAATATTTTGCTATTTTGTTTTTTGTAACAATGCAAAATCATTACTTTTAAGCTTAAAATACAGGAAAAATGATAATCCCTGTCTCGGAGACCAATTATGAATTCATTCAAGTAATCGTGGTCTCTACCTCTCCATTTTAATTATGCTGTCTTCGGCCTTCTCTACTTTTCTTTTTGAAGGAGAAAGCCCAGTTTCCTACTCTGAGAAGTACACGTTACAGGTGCAGACATGAGCAGCTGGGGGCAGGACGTACAGTTAATTGAAGACCCTGAAGAACTGTCTTGGATGTTGGACACTGAGATTTTACTGCAAAAGACCCTTTCAGGGTGGGCATTTTGGTTGCAAATTTGCAACCGCAGTGAGGTTGAGAGTGCAAATCCATGTTAGAAACAAGAGACCTGTGTTCCCGGTTCTACTACTTATTAGCTCGTGCTATGACCCTGTTATTTTTCTGTCCTGTGCTTTAGCTTCCTTTCTGAAATAAACACCTCCCATGATTGTTCTAAGGGTCAAGTGAGTTAATGAGTAAACAATGGCTTAAACTTCCTCTTGCAAAAAGGCCTGAGTTAGATTTGAGACAGGGTAGCTTGGAAGAAGGTAGTGGATTGGAGAGAGGTTAGAAGAAGCGATGGTAAACTGAGGGTTAGGGAAAGAGGTATAGTCAATGCTTGCTTCAAGAGGAAGGATACAGAGAAAAACGGGTGCTGCTGGGCATCCGACAACTTCATAAACTTTCAAAAAAGCTATTTTTCATTCAACAAATACGTGGTGAATGCCAATAATGCACAGAAGCTCAGAGGTTAGTTCACCAAGATCACCCCGAGATCTGGTGACAGAGCTGGGGCTCTAATCTAATGTGGCTGACTCCCAAACCTGACTTCTTTCTCTATCCCATAATACCACCCAGAGAAGAAGGCAGTGATTAAAATGAAAACAAAAAAAAGAGTTCCTTTAAAGAGAACCCTGCTAGATGAAGTTAGCCTTGACATCTGAGTGTCAGGGATTTAAACAAGTTAGGAATGGGATTGAGGCTGGGACTGTTGAGGCATGTGTGTATTTAAAAACAAGTTGGTCAAACAGCACAAAATGCTGGTTGTCTTTTTTCCATAGACAAGAATGCTTTTTGGCATGCTGCTCCAGCCCTGGCTGCGAGGAACTGCTTGCTTGATGTGTTCTCAGCCAGGTTCTCAGAACAAGTTCTAAACACAAATAAGCCAGTATTCCCAGCATTGTGGGGTCTGGCAATTGCAGAACAGTCAGCTCAGGAACTCTGATAACTTTTGCAGGCTCTCGGGGAACCAGGAGCTCTGAGTCTCCAGGCTTCTGACCTACACATGACCAAGCTCACGCCATGCCCTGTCTCACACACAATGGTAGAGAAATGACAAGGTCTGAAGGTCACTGTAGGGGTCTTAAAAAAAAGTTACGGTGAAGGCCAGGCACAGTGGCTCACACCTATAAACCAAGCACTTTGGGAGGCCAAGGCAGGAGGATCACTTGAGGCCAGGAGTTTGCAACCAGCCTGAGCAACACAGTGAGACCTGTATCTACAAAAGGTAAAGAAATTAGGTGGGTGTGGTGGCATACACTTGTAGTACAAGCTACTTGGGAGGCCAAAGCAGGAGGATTGCCTGAGCCCAGGAGTTCCTGGCTGCAGTGAGCTGTGATTGCACCACTGCATTCCAGCCTCTGTGACAGAGTAAGACACTGTCTCTTAAAAAAAGAAAATCAGAGTGAAGAGGGCAGATGCTCATGTGGAGCCCAAAGACACAGGTGTCTGCACATGATGGAAACGGAACCTGTGCAAAGTCCATGCAAAGTCTGTGCATGGGGTTCACGTCCTTGAGTCGCTGACAGCTGTTCTCCAAGGAAATGCCTGGTGAGAGCAAGGCGCCAGATCTGTGGAGCTCAAAGGAATGCTGTGTCTCATGTTTAGCTCTCCCACACTGGCTGTTAGGGGAAAAGCCCACAGCAATTTTTAGCAAAGAAGCACGATAACTCCCATGCCAGCTCCCAGCCTTCTGCCACCCAGCCCAGGTCCTGGACCTTGTCATTAGGGCAGCCCCCTCACGAGCTCGATGGCCCAGAACAACCTGCTATTTGGTGGCAGCTCCAGATGGCAGATGCTGGCCGAAGACATTACATCTTCCCCAAATGCTGAGTCAGCAGTGATTATGCAATGTTGGGGAAGGAGAAATAACACACCTGGGCCTTGCAGAGCTTTGTGCCGTCTCATTTCCTGGCAAGCACATGGCTAAGAAGGTCCTGAGAAGCCAGGCTGACTGGAGGCTCCCACACAGCCCATTTCTGGGACCTCAGGACACAAAGCTCCACAAAGGAATACAGACAAGGAAAGCAGTGGAGACCCCTGAGGAAGGAGTCTCCAAGCAGAAAGGAGAGAGAGGCCATGTCTCAAAACTCCAGAGGCTTCTGAAGTCCTTCTGGAGAGTTAAGACAATCGGAGCACATGTGAAAGCATTCTTGTCATACAGCTGCCCTCCAATGGACGACAACGGAAGGAGAACAGCTCCTTACCAAAGCAGCCATGATGGATTCTGACATGTTCGCAAGACACACCTGTACTTGCTTATTCTGACTTTTGTTGGAGATGATCTCCATTCTGTTCTGAGTCCTTAGTGATAAGGGGTGGGGAGATTAGCTTCAGCAGCTGAGGCTGTAGTTTTGTAGAAAATGTAACTGGAATGAAGATGGCTATCCCGAGGTCACAAACTAGCAGGGTAACTAGTGGTTTCCCGTTTCTAATCTTTAGTTTTTCATCTCTTAAACGAGGCACTGAGTGCTTATGTAATTCCTGAGGTTTTCAAAGTCTGTGACTTACAGAGATCAATTACACAGGCTGCCCCCAATGCCTCCACCTTCCCTCTGTTCCATCCTGACAAAGGGCAGACACGCACTGCATGGGAAGAGGGTGGGGGGAGCTGTGCTGAACCCCACAAATGGAGAAGTCCATGTTCTGGGTGGCTGCCCATGGGGCAATGAGAATGTACTTCCTGCTTCTGAGCCTTGGTGGGAGACTATCTCCCCACAAAGGTCAGATCTGCCCAGGAACACCTGACCACCCTGATCATCAACTATGGCAAGATACAAACTTTGACAAGGAAATGTTGGCCAAAATGTTCAGCAGAGACCCATGCCATTTGTTTGTTGGCAAACACCTGTGTGGACTACTTGTTTCTGTATTTATTTTTGAGACAGGGTCTCGCTCTGTCACTCAGGCTGGCATGCAACAGCAGGATCAGAGTTCACTGTAACCTCGAAGTCCTTGGCTTGAACAATTCTCCTGCCTCAGCCTCCCAAGTAGCTAGGACTACAAGTGTATGCCACCACACCAGCTAATTTAAATTTAACTTTTTGTAGAGATGGAGGCTGGTCTCGAATTCCTGGCCTCAAGCAATCTTCCTGCCTTGGCCTCCCAAAATGCTGGGATTATAGGTGTGAGCCACTACTGTGCCTAGTCAGTTTTCTGTTTCTTAAATGAAGTGGGGTGGTAAAGAAAATCTAGAACCCACACGACCACATAGACTATGTCTTTGGGGAGGCAGGAGATCTCAGATCATTCACTTGGAGTAGGCAGCACAACCAGGTGGAAGGAAGGAGGGTAATAACTAATCATGGCATTCAAGCAGAACTTACCCATGCTATTTAACCCTTTCCTGCACTTGGCACAGCATTACACAAAGGCACTCAGTAGATCACAGCTCGACAGGATAGATGTTGCTACAGCCCCAGCTGAACACAGGGCATGTTCACAAACCACTCAACAGAGCAGCAAGCCCCCTAAGCAACCAATGAGAAAACGCAAATGGCATTTATGCATCAAGATGGTATACCGAACACACAGGCCCATTTCTTCCTTCATGAAACACCATAAGAATAAGAGCAAAGGAATGAAAGTTATGTTAATATAGCCATGAAGACAGAGGGATAGAGAAGAGAACAGTAGGCCAGAGCTAGCCACCTATTTACGCAGGAATGAAAGTGACAGAGAAGCGAGCAGGGCGGGGGATCCTAAAACCACATGCCTGCAGCGGGGAGGCCACAGAGTGGTCAGCAGAGATGTGCTGTGGCCTCCAGGAGAGGCTTGGGGATTGGAATGGGAGGCATGAGGTAAGACATGGGGCTGAAGACCAGTTCATTTGTTGGCTCTGAGGCCCCCTGTCCTTCCCATGCAACAGATGACCACCATGCTCCTACTCCATGGAGAAATCAGAGCAGCTCCCACTCAGGGACACCAGGCATAGCAAAGGTGGGAGCAACTTAATGAGTCTACTCATGGGTGATGAGGCTGCCTGCTCAGTGGTCAGAACTCAGGCACTCAGATATAGACCAGGGTCTCTGGATATGGCCCTACAGTTTGTGCATTGCACGGAGGCACCTGGCTAAGTAGGCCAGTTAGGAGTTAAAATCCAGCCTTTGCGTTGTTTCTCAAGCATTGTCCAAGTTCAGGGCTGCGTACGCCTGGAGGAAGGGGCAAAAGGTGTCCTCTGCCAGTCAAGCCAAGTGCTCATGGGGGCTCTGCCCAGATGGGACACCTTTTCTGAAACTCCATGAGGGCTCAACGTAGGCTAAAAGCAGCCCTGTGTATGCCCGTTTCCTAGGTAGCAGAGTAGTGGGAATATCTCTAAAGAAACAGAATGAACCCCAGAGAAAAACCTGCAAATATTGACATGCAGGGTTCTCCAGTGATGAGTCCAGATGCCCACCTGGTAATCCTAGGGAAAAGCTGACCAGTGGTGCAGAGCTTCGAGTCAGCTTTTGGATGCCTCACTCTTAAACATGAACAGATCCACAGGATGTCTGAGAAAAGTTTATAACATGAAAGAGACTGAGACCAACCAAAAGAAAGAAAACTTGAGAAAACAAGGGCAACACAGGGAGCAGGAAAGAACTTCCCCTCAACACACAATCATTAACATCCACAGAGAGCTAAGATCTGCATCCACTAATCAAGAACAGGACACTATAAAACAAAGACAGGACAATGACTAAAGGTTTTGTTAATTTGGAAAATAAAAATTCAATAAAACCTTCAGATTAAGAAGATAAAAACAAATAATTCTTCCTGAAGATCAGAAACATAGATGAAAAATAAAACAGAAAAATATCAGAGCATCAGCCTGGGGGCAGGGGAAGATCCAACATTGAAATAATAGGTGGTCAGAAACAAAGGATGTGAATAATCACAGGAACATTTAAGAAATTTCCCATGAGGGCCCAGCACAAGGTTCAACACTCAGGATACAATGCCATCATGGCAGTTCAGAACACCAAGAATAAGGAGATCTTAAATGTTTCCAGGGAGGGTGGATAAAAAACCTAAGTCACATACAAAGGCATGGGAATCAGAATGACATCCGAAATCTCAACCACCCCACTTGGGAGGGGATAGGAGAAGGTATTGTTTTCCACCTGGCATTCTGTGCTCAGCAGAATACACAATTTAAGTCATGCAAAAATCTCCAAATATTTACAACCATATTAACTTCCCATGTTCTCTTCCTCAGGAAGTTATTAAAGAATGTGCCACGCCAAAAAAAAAAAAAAAAGTAAAGAGAGAGAATAACAAATTAAGGGGGGAAATTTGGAGGACAAAGGACACATTACCATAAGGCAGTGCTGGGCTTGGGAGTCAACAATCCTTACGTGCTCCAAGTAATGTCAACACCTAACAGTAATGTACTAAATGATGTGATCTAGCTACACTGGAAAACCAAAACACAGTATGGTAAGAGTGAAATTCTCATCTACTGTGATAGCAAGCCAGTAGATGTTTCTAATTAATTAAAACATGCAAATATAAGAGAGTTGAAAGTGGCTACTTCTAAGGAGCAAGACTTAGGGCACTGCTAGTTCTTGTTAAAGGCTGGCCTCAATGTCCTGACCTCAGCTCTCTTACTGTATTTATTTTAATTAAAATAAAATTACAAGCAATGGGTGGTTTGTTCTGCAGACTTCCACATCCATTTTCTATATCCAACTTCTTCCATAGAAGTCTATATTCAAATGAGACTTTCTTTTCCTTTTAAAAAAAAATCAGTTGACAGCCAACCAGAACCAAATGACTTTTAGGCATCTTGCCAATAGATGTTTTAAACAACATTACAAGTTGTAATAGGTGAGAGAAGAAGCCTGCAGAGGTTTTTCTGAACAAGGTCTAGACCCATAAAATGAAATGATGCACATTTGGGTCAGCTCTTCCCAGGCTCTTCGAGCATCTAATTTAGGCGGGGACCACGTGGTGCCCAGGGTTATAAACTATCACACACATAATCTTTATTATCTGTACCTTTGCGCTTTCACTGATGCCAGGGAGCTCATTAACTAGCTCATTTTCCATGGGGCTCTTGGCCTTCCAGATGGAATCACTCCAAGCTCCCAACAGCTTTCTGCTTGGAAGGCTGAAATTCTTTCAGGAGGGGAGACAGACTATAATCAGACTGGTTTAGAGGCCAGATTTTGGCTGTCATCAACTCAGATGTGCTATGTAAATTCTTCTGGCCATGCTGGAATTCAGTAAACTTGAAACCCACTGCTTGAAATGAGCAAGCCCTTGGCTAGCAAAGAAAGAAACGTGATTCCTGGAGTAAGAACGATGCTTGTATGTCAAATGACAAGCTGTTGCAGCTGTCAAGGGTATTACAGAAGGAATCGGAGATGAGTTGAAGGTGAATAAGACTTCCTCATGGGAAAAATACAAGAACAAAATAAATGTCAATAGTTGGCGTAAAATTTTCAGTTTTGTTTGAAGGTGGACATTTTAATCTAGTCATTTAATCTTTTTCTCAGGACACTGGCGTGCCTGGTGGAAGTCTCCTACAAGAGGGGACAGCTCTGGACAGGGCATCAAGTGCCTGTATGCTCACTGCAAGTCCATCCCTGATTGACTGTGTGACCTTGGGCAAGATGCTCTGTCTCTCTGTGTTCAGCCAGACAAAATGCTCTCTCAGTTCTCTCTTGACTCGTTCACGATTTCATAAGGTTGCCTGGTACATGCTTTCTGAAGGGGAGAGCAAGGGGAGGAGAAACCGATGCACAGACTCGAGTCTTGGGAGGAAGGAGTGAGCAGATGGAGCCCAGGGCTGAGGGAGATGGTGGGAAGTGCGGCTGGGTGGGTGCTAGAGACACCTCTCTTCTCTCAGAAACCTCCTGTGCTGGCCTGCTCCCGGAGTGCTGTCCAGAAAGCCTTTTCAAGAAGCCCACTGCAACTGACCACAAAGGATACCCGTGCCAAGACATGCATTCTGAGGCAGGTGTGCACCAAAGCTTTCATTGGTAGGAAGTTGCCGCAGCGTCCAGCTGCGGCACCAGTGGGAGCTGATTCCAGCCCAGCCACTCCGCATGGCCTTTACAGGGCCCTGTGGGGCCTTTGAAATCATGGCTCTAATCCAATCAATGGAAAAGTGAATTTAAAATGCATCTCCCCTCAAAACAAAACAAAACAAGGTGAAAAACCGAGGTGAAAAAGAGCACACTATGGCTCTCAACACAGCTTTCAACTTCCTCCCTGGATTCTGCCATTCCGGGATGTGCTTGCACAGAGCCGGCTGCTCTGGTTTCCCCAGTAAATGCAACCAGTTACCAGACTGCAACAGGTGTGTGGACCCCAGCACCTTCTCTCAAACACCCATGCTTGGAGGAAAACGTGACAGCTTTCTTCCCAGCTAGGGCTTGGCCTGGGGCACCCACCCTCTTCCTCATCAAGCAGCCCTTCATCTGAGAGGTAAGAAACTCAAGTTCATCCAAGACGTGAACCTGCGTGTGGGAAGTGCTAAGATCCAGGCAGGCTAATGATCACTAACGATGCTTCCTATCTGACCCAGCAAGGCACACGAGGACAAAACCCCACCTACGGATCCAGCTCTCTGCCTGAGTTTTAAGTACATAGCCAAAGAAAAAAGCATGCTCAGGTAGTCAGGGAAAAAAAAAAATAAACCCCAACAGCGAGAAAGGGGGTCTAAGTTTCCTCGGAGGTCCTCAACTGTCTGCAGAAGTGCCCCACCCAGAACCCAAAATAAAATGAAGTAACCCCGCCCCCAGTCAGGGTCCTATCTTTTTTATTATCCAGACACACGCATCACAGCCTATTAACATCCAGTTGTGGGAAGAGCAGTAAGCAGTACACCAGGAGCCAGAGGAAGAGAATAAAATACATCATATCCGGCTGCTGGACAAACTGTGTCAGGGAGTCGCTCTGCGGGCTGTGGCTCCCCAGTGACATGGCTTCTCCCGAGCTGTTGGCCTTCCTACAGAAGGAACACAGAGGAAAGGCAGTTACCAAGCAGGTCCCCAGGACAGTGGATCCCACCCAGTGCTACCCATCTCTCCCCGGCCCTGCACTTCCTGCCTGGAAACCTGATGGCTCCCCAGTGATGTGTCCAGCCAGGCCCCACAGTGTGTGTGCTGACCCAAGGCAGTGGGTCGGGCCATCCAGGCAGCCCCTCAAGCTGTCGCATATACTCAGCTTATCTCAATAACACCAGGTGGGAGGAGCTGGCAGCCCCACTCTGCAGATGGACACACTGAGGCTTGTGGGGTGGAATGACTTGCTCAAGGCCATGTGATTACTTAGCAACAGAGCTGGCACGTAGGCCAGGTCTCTTGGGACACCTTTCTTGATGCCACAGTGCTCTCAGAGAGTGACACGGAGTTAGATACTGACAGCTCACTGCTGTTAGCAATGAAGGGGGCCCTACAGGTCACCTAAGCGATGAAGCGTCCCTGACAGCAGATCATTTTAAATCATCTATGAGAAAAACACAAAGACCTCTCCCATTCCCTACAGTTTTGTTTTTGGTTTTGGAATATTACCATTGAAATAATTACTAGATTTTTAGTCAGATTTACCTTCCTGCTTTTATTTTATAGGCGGTAGTGTTAAAATGTCATTTTGGTTTTGCTTGGTGGATAACAGGGAAGCCCAGAAGGTTTTGGCTCATGGATAATAAGGAAGCCCAGAGGATGGGGGAAACCAAGCCCAGACCTGAGTTTCCAGAGGAGAGGGTGAGGGAGGGGCTGTGGGCTGGGGCTGGGGCCTCTGCTCGGAGCTGCATATAGAGAAGCCTGCAGTGTAAGCTTCTTAGCCTGGTTTCATGCCAGGTAATGGAGATTACGAGAGGCTAAAACCACTTGTCCCTGAACTATCTCCTGATGGCAGGAGTGACGGGCAGGGTGGGATTAAACATCTGCCGCCGTCTAAAAACTGCATGAGAAATACCCACATGATGGTCTTTTTTAAAAAAACTGTCTACAGAAACAATTTAAACTCTACACTTTCTATAGAGACAGGATCTCTCTGTGTTGTCCAGGCTGGTCTCAAACTCCTGGTCTCAAGCAATCCTCCCTCCTTGGCCTTCCAAAGTGCTGGGATTACAGGCATGAGCCACCGCGTACAGCCTAACCCGTATTTTTTATTATACAGGTAATAAATGCTCAATGTAGAAAACAGAAAACATGCCTGCATTTCTCAAATTTGCAGGTCGTATTTTCAACGCCTCTCTCATAAGCACAAAAAGAACTATTTTCCTATGAGCATGTCCAGCCTAGTTGAAACCTTGAATTAATATTTCCATTTCATGGCAGGGGAAAGGAGCCATCTTGCTTCTTTCTTTAGGAGCCAGAGGGATGAGGCTCTAAGGACCACACTCTTGGGTGTTGGGTAATATTAGACAGAAGCTTTTGATTCCAGTCATCGAAATCCTTCCAAGCCAATTCAAATCTGTGGCAAGTAAATACAATTTAAAAAATATATATATGTGTGTATATATATATATATACACACATGTATATATATATATAAAATAAAGGAGTTCTATGACTTCAACAGGAATGGGGGTGTCTCAGAATTGTAAGAGTTTGAGAAGGTTTTCTGGTTTCCTATGTGCTAAATGGGCAGGTTTCCAGTAATTCAGCAACAGTAGGCTAGGCCAGCAGTTCTCCAACAGCAGGAAATACTTTCATAGACATCCTGGCATGTTTGCTCTCCCTCTTCTTGTCTGCTCTGATGCCATAAAACTGTAAAATCAGCTCAGTGAGCTTCTGAGTATTGTACCTGCAGCGGAGACAGGGAACACACAGGTATCAGGGGCTACAGCCTCGTAGGGGACACACAGCTTCACAAGATTACCACCTCTTCCCCTGCCTGTACCCCTACGTCATTTAAACGCAACTGCAGCCTCAGAACCCAGACCTGTCTTTAAACCGACTCATTTTCGGAACCAGGCCCTGCCCGTCAGTGTTAACGAATATCTACTTTTCCTTTCTACTCATATTCAGTTTACATCATTTTCTCTGGAATATTTTCTTGCATTATCCCAAATTATTAATACTGTTATCAACAAAGCACAGTGGGAGAAGAACCACCCCTGTAAGGCAGGCTGCAGCATGTGAAAACATTTTATGACAACCCCCGCAAAACTTGAAGTAAGGCCACCAACCTGGTTAACATTCGGTTTCTTCTGTCGTCCAGATCTGCTGCGTTCCTCAACTGAACATGGCTAAAATGATCCTACAGTGAAATTTATAAACAAAACCCCCGCAAACCCAATTAGTAAAGATGAAATCTCTGAAACAGAAAATAAAATGATTTTAAACACATAAAGCCAAGCATGCTGTGCATTTCTCAATATTATCAATATCTAGAACCAAAATCAAAGCGTTAAACAATATACATTCCTCTGCCTCCTCCCCCAAGCCCCTCCCAGGTGAGTGAGAGAGACCCCACCACCCATAACCTGAACTGGAGTGTGCTGCTCCTGGTTCTAACACATCTGGTACTAAGCACGCGCGAGCGTCCATTGGACCTCAACTCATGTCGCACCTCTGTCTTTGAATGTGATCTTTCTGGGTGTGTGTGCGGGGGGTCCAGGCAGGGACAAAGAGGCTTTGGGCTTTAAAATCATCACTTTATTTACATCCCTTATTGCCCAAACCGGACATCTGATTGCACTGTGCTTAATGACAAGGTCTTAATTTGCTTGTCTTCTATCCAAAAGTATAGCTGTTACATGTCAGTACTGTCAAAGCTCTGGGCTGGGGAGGAGGAGGGATGGAAAGGAATTGATTAGCAGGGTCCATGCGGGAAAAGAAGAAATTCACATACTAACCGATTCCAAAGACCTATTAGTATGCCGTCGAATGTAAATGCTGGAGTCACTGTGACTAGTCCTGAAAAACAAACACACGTTTTGGATTGATACCACATAGAGCTCTTCATGGCTCCGTTGCACAGTTGCCCCCATCCTGGGGCTTCCACCTATGGATTTAGGCAAGCGACAACTTCACACCCAGGGACAGAAATGAGAGATTTTATCTAATGTGTCTACTCAGGTTGGAGAGTGCTTACAAATAGGATGGGTATTAGTGACACACATTGGGCCCTCATCTAAAAGAGAAAACAAAGTCAGGATTTTAAAGAAAAAGCCAGCCACATATTCTTAAAAATCATAGCATTTGGAGCAGAAAGTAACCGCTTTTCCTTAATATCCTGAGGTCTTGAAACTCACCAGAGGTTCTCTGCAATTAGCCAGGCCTGGGCCTAGACCAGGCTGCCTCGACTTTCTCTACCTGCCTCTGAGGTCCAAAATGTGCAAGTGGGAACACCTGCCTCGCACGTCACGTTCCATCCGGTCCTAGCAGAATGGAGGGTGACGTCGTATCTCCTTGAAGGATGGAGCCCTGCCTGAATCAGCCCTGTGGCTGACCTCTTTCTCCCTCTCCTGAAGTCCCCAGGCCTAGCAGATTCCATTGCACAGTGGCTGCTCAAGGATTGAGAATGGATATGTTTGGGGAGAAGCTGAGTGGTTGGGCAAATCCCCTAGGCTGTTTGTCCAAAGTGGTCACCTGCACTGACAGCAGAGCCCTGTGACATGCTAAGATCATAGATGACTGCTGGACAGTCATATCCAGGGGCAGGGACAGGCACGCTGGGAGTCACAGGCCAAGTGGGCAGCGGCCTTCTGTTGTGCCTTGGCCCTCCTCCCCTCCCTCTGTTTCCCCAAGGTCCAGGCATGCAAGCAAGGCGGAGGGAGGTGAAAAGCCAGGCATCTGACAGCAGCTCCTCCGGCTCTGTCTGTATGGGCTTCTCCCTGCCCCTCCCCAAATGCATATCTCAATACTTTTCTGTTGCAGCTAGCACTGCTCACACCATCACAGGCAACAAGGGGGCACAAAAAGAATGTGGACTCAGAATATGGAGTCACACACATCTGAGTCCATAACTCTCCAGCTCTGCCATTCCTAAGCTGGGAAGGTTACCTGGCCCCCTGACCTTCTTTGTCTGCCATATGAGGCACAGTCCCACCAATGTGCCTATGGGGTGACTGTGAGAATGAATGAGAAAATGAATGCAAAGTGCCTGGGCACAGTAAGGGCCTGACAAACACTACTCTTGTGATGACAAAAGAGGCGAGAGACCAGGGTCTTCGATTTTCAGCAGTCACACATTTTTCTTGGGACAAATATGGCTCATCTGGTGGCCTTGGAATGACAGCAGGTGCGTGTTATGAGCTTCCTGTAGATCAGTTAAGTCTCATTATTCTCCCTGCTCCCTTCCTCTTCTAAGTGAAGTAAAGCATCTTTACTTCCTTGGAATGGAAATTGTGGAAGGAGCCATAATATTAATATGATGTTCAGCTTCCACGTGCCAGACATTAAAGGTCTCCTTGGTGGAAAGGTGGATATGCTGGAAGTCATTAAGATGCTTGTAAGTTGAAGTCTGGTCAACCTACAGCTGTCTGGGGGCCAGAAGGCAGCCAGCAGAGGCTCCAAGTCTACTGTGTTCACCCCCACGGCTAGCTATGGTTCAGCCATCCACTGCTCACTGCCAGCTTCCACCCAAAGGTTCACAGAGTGAGAAGAGAAGGCAAGCGTCCCGCCCTTCCCATTCTACTCCTTATGAGGTGTGGTAATGGCGAGGGTGGGTGGGGGAACCCAGGTGTAGAGAATGACGGTGGTATATGAAGCTGTATTTCCCTTGCTGTCCAATACCACACCTGCACCTCCCACCCCATCAAATCAGAAATTAAATGGAATGACTCCGTAACTCTCTGGCTCTATCTTAAGGGTAAAAAGAGATTAATAAAATACCTGGAAGGAACGCTGTGGTCGCCAGTGTCTTCTTCTAGGTCATCTGAGGCTCGAACAGTTCCAGGTGCTATAAATAACGAACTTTCTACGTGGTCCACATGTTTCCTTTTTTCCTTTTTTTTACTGCTGATTGGTTCTTTCGTTACCTTTTCTTCTAGGGGGTTTGCTATGTTTTCCGGGTTTGGGGATTCCTGGGACTGAAAGAACAACCAAATCCAAGTCAGTAGGTCATGCTGCAATGTAAAGCAGGTGACACCACCCAACAGTGCTCTGCACAGGTCCAGCCAGGGCGTCCCTTCCAATTTTCTGCCTGCTTCTTGATCCCCTTCGTGAATCCAGCACCGCCTGTGTGAGAGACAAGTCCACCCCAACTCCGACCCCTGGTACAGAATTCAAACGCTACAAATTGATGGAGTTAAAACAATATAGGTTCTAGAGTCAGCAAGATCTGATTTCAAATCCTGGCTGAGTTAGCTCTGTGACCTTCAGGGACTGATGTTATCTTTTCCAGTCTCAGTTTCTTTGTCGGTGAAATGGGTACAATTACCCATTGGTAATTATTACCCACATCCCACTATTCCACAGGATTTCCTATAAAGAGGGCCTCTAATTAGCTGGCTGTGGTGGTCCCTGTGGTCACAGCTAGTTGGGAGGCTGAGGTGGGAGGATTGCTTGAGCCTGGGAGGCAGTGGTTGCAGTGAGCATGTCACTGCACTCCAACCCGGGTGAGAGAGTGAGACCCTGTGAAGAAGAAAGGAGGAGGAGGAAGAAGGAGAAAGGAGGAGGAAGAGGAAGAAAGAAGAAAGAAGGGGAGAAGGAGGAGGAGGAGGAAAAGAAGCAGGAGGAAGAAGAAGAAAGATAAGAAGGAGGCTGGGCACGATGGCTCAAGCCTGTAATCCAGCACTTTGGGACGCTGAAGCAGGCAGATCAGGGGGTCAGGAGTTTGAGACCATCCTGGATAACACGGTGAAACCCCTCTCTCTACTAAAAATACAAAAATTAGCTGGGTGTGGTGGCACCTGCCTGTAGTCCCAGCTACTCAGGAGGCTGAGGCAGGAGAATCACTTGAGCCTGGGAGGCGGAGGGTGCAGTGAGATCGTGCCATTGCACTCCAGCCTGTTTAACTAAGCAAGACTCTGTCTAAAAAAAAAAAAAAAGGAGAAGAAAAAAGGAGAGGAGGAAGGAAGGGAGGAGGAAAAGGGCTCTTACAGTGAGCTGTGGTTGAATCCTTCACAACCATTATCCACTTAAATCAAGCCTGGCAGCTAGGTGGGCCAAGGGGTACAAAGGTGGCCCATGAGTTTGGAGAGTCACACACACAGGTAGGTGTGGAGTTTCCAGGATGCCATCTTCACTGTGCTTTTGGCTAAAGGTGGCTGGCTGTGCATTTATTTGGTCATGAAGATTCTTTGACCTCTGTCCGCACCAGGCACTCTGAAACCCATCAGCATGGTTTCTGAGTGAAATGCAGTAGCCTAATAATTGTTGGAGCCACCTGTCAAGAATTCTTTTAGGGTCTGAAAGAACCTGTTCAACAAGTGTCAGAACAAGAGCATTAAAGTGGCCGGGCCATTGTGACCCAGGAGAACAAAGCTATAGGCAGGAATGAAAAACTGCACTCAGCAATCTGAAATGACAGTCTCACCTGCTGCCCTCATCAACAGTCAAATGCTACAATTTCTGAAAGGTGAAATTAGCAGAGGGCTTATTTATTTTTTCAAGACCAGAAGAAAAACGCCATTTTCTAGTCTCTTTGGTTGGGAAAACATCTTTCTTTCATTTTTTTTTTTTTGAGACGGAGTCTTGCTCTTGTCTTCCAGGCTAGAGTGCAGTGGCACGATCTTGGCTCACTGCAACCTCCGCCTCCCGGGTTCAAGCGA